AATCTTTCGCTGTGAACGAATCATTCTCCGTGAACTAATCTTTCGCCGTGAACTAATCTTTCGCTGTGAACGAATCATTCTCTGTGAACTAATCTTTTGCCGTGAACTAATCTTTCGCCGTGAACTAATCTTTTGCTGTGAACGAATCATTTTCTGTGAACTAATCTTTCGCCGTGGACTAATCTTTTGCTGTGAACGAATCATTTTCTGTGAACTAATCTTTCGCCGTGGACTAATCTTTTGCTGTGAACGAATCATTTTCTGTGAACTAATCTTTCGCCGTGGACTAATCTTTTGCTGTGAACGAATCATTTTCTGTGAACTAATCTTTCGCCGTGGACTAATCTTTTGCTGTGAACGAATCATTTTCTGTGAACTAATCTTTCGCCGTGGACTAATCTTTTGCTGTGAACGAATCATTCTCTGTGAACTAATCTTTCTCCGTGAACTAATCTTTCGCTGTGAACTAATCTTTTGCTGTGAACGGATCATTCTCTGTGAACTAATCTTTCGCCTCGTTCTCGCAGATTCGTTTCATTTGTCACGCGAAAGAGCTCGGGTCTTTTTTGCTCTCATTCATCTTCACATTGTGGTGTGTTTTTACTTCTTAGCTTTTCGCATGGTTCTAATTCTTTAGGGCATTTTGTGTACTTTGTAGACTTTGTCAACGGAAGCAAACCATGTTGCCTTCAGTATTTAGTGTCGTAGAACCGCAGCCTTTTTTACAACGCCCACAATAGGGCTAGTTTTAGTAGATTAGCTAGATTAGTTTGCAGAGTAATTAGTTCGTAGTGAAAGATTAGTTCACAGCCATAGATTAGTTTGCATAGAGTAATTCGTTCGTAGTGAAAGATTAATTCGCTGAGAGTGATTTGTTCGCAGAGTGTGATTTGTGACTCGGGAGTCGCGAATCTTTCATATGACTCGGGAGTCACGTTCATTTTGAACGAATCACTCGTGAACGACACATCACCATTGCACAGAGATCTCACGTTGACCATGATGATAGAAGGTACAGATGGTTTATACCTTCTTTTTTGGCCCGGCATAAAACGCCAGATCTACATCCCCTGCGCTTTCATCTCAACGCAGTCGGGATGCCCGGTCTCTCGTTGAGTAGCACAGATCTGTTGCGTAACCCCAGCAGCTGGTCGTATCGCCGTGTACGGTATTAAACAGTTCGCAAAGTGTTAAAAAAATAGAAAACGACCTAGTAGGTTGTGGAAACATGAGAAACCCACGTATACCCATCTGTTGTGAAAAACAAACACGAAAAGAAACAAAATTACACATACACAGGGTAGAGTTGCTGCAACTTCCAGTTTGAAAATGTCACGTTTGTTATTTTCATACTAACAGCCGCTAGAGGGCACTCTAAGCTTGTGTACCAGTATCTGCTACACCTGTACCACAGATTAGATAGATAGATAGATAGATAGATAGATAGATAGATAGATAGATAGATAGATAGATAGATAGATAGATAGATAGATAGATAGATAGATAGATAGACTGATGTACGGATGAACATACTTTATTGATCCCCGGCTGGGAAATTACAGTGTAGCAGCAGCAGCATTACATACAGAGACAGTAAGAAGCAATGACTTAATGAGGTAATGACGTGTGTATAAAATGTTAAGATAAGTAGTATACACTGTATTGGTAAAATGAATAGGTAGGTAGAGAAGCCCAAGTATAAAATATACAGATGAACAAACATGTTGAAAGTAGTGCAGAGTAATGTGTCTAGTGAACAACAGCGTGTGTGAACGTATGTGTGTGTTCTTTGCCCTGTATTATGTACGTATGTATGTGTATGTGCAACTTACACATACATACGTACTTTCGACAAAAAAATTTACGACAAAAATCCTCCTTCCGTTTTCTATACAACCAACACCAAAGGTACATTTAGGAAACAAATGAGAATGGGTCTCATTAAACGTTTAAACAGATGCAGCTAATATGGGCACATTTGGTCACAAGCTGAATATTATTTATTTCTAGACCGAACATCTAACTTAAAGGCGTCTACAGCTCTGTGATTAAATGAAAGGAAAAACGTTTTCTCTTCTTTTCTGCCAAACGTCTGTCCGTTTTCATAGAGAGCGCAGTGCATAATTAATATAATTTGTAGAATGGCGATTGTCAAGAGAAGCTGAATAGATAGTCAATAGTTGGCGGTATAGGGTAACAGTTTTGTCCAACCCAGTATACGCTTTAAACACGATGCTAATTAGTAATGAGGAAAAGAGACTCTCAAATTGTGTCTGCTTTTATGCTGTTTATACTTTTTGTATTTATATGTGTAACACATACAGTATATATAATACGGCCATAATAGTACACATAAATAGTATATACGTCATATTATTATTTTTTAAAAATATTATCAATACAAGGTATAGCAAATTTAAATAATACAAAATACCACAAATCACTAATCAAATAGTTTTGAAGAAGAATCCCAGTGGCAAAATACACCGACAATACGGTAGGTATTTTATTTACCTGTTGCTTTGTGTTTGTGCTGTCACAAACATATATATATATATTTTTTTTTTTCTTTGCGCGATGTCTTTCTCTCTCTCCTCTTTTTTTAACATGTACGAACCCAAATAATTTGCGTCGGTTTTGTATTGGTCTTTTGGCTGATGTTATCAGATGGTGTTTTATTCACGTAAAAGGTTAAAAGCCTCAGAAATTCCGAAAATAAGGTTTACGAATTATGGGAATGAATCATAATTGAATAATGAACGATTATATGCCGCAATTCCTCACAGAATTTACACTAAAAACACTCCTAAAATGCATAAAATATGCAACTTTCTGCTTTATTTAATCACCTGTCAGTTAAGTTTATTTATTTGTTTCAAAATAATTGGAAAACAACATACCTCACAAAAAGCCATACTTATTTAAAAAATAACATTTTATAATAAAAAAAAATGCGTGCATCTTAACACAAGAATTTCCCAAACATGGGATCAATAAAGTTCAAGTTTTTATTATTATTATAAATTTTGACTTGAGCGTGTTTATCATTATTATAAATTTTGACTTGAGCGTGTGCCTCCAAATCATGTAAGGTCGTATTATCAAATCATAGTCAAATAAAAGTGGCTCATGTTTTTTTAGCCCCCAGACACCACACACACACACACGAACTCTGGAACCAACGTGGGAAAAATAAAGCATTAGTTACAGCCCTCACAAAATGATTATTAAAAGCACGAGCTGTGTAAATAAGAATATAAATACATTTTCTAATTCGAGTGTTAACTGCAATATTAGTGTAATAATATTAATAATAATAATAATAATAATTCCCTTTCTGGTTGTAGTACGACTTACCTTACTGTGTTGACACATAATGCATTAAAATATGCAAATGAGAACTATGGCATAATAATGCGGATTTCAAGAGACCTGAAATATTAATTCAAGTCTGAACAATCTTTTAAAAATATTATTATTATTATTATTATTATTATTATTATTATTATTATTATTATTGCGCTTGTTGAATGTTTTAGAATCCAAAAATAATCACGTAGTTTGAAAAACAACCCAATTCAATTCGATTTATACGACAGGTCCTGTCCGTCTGTCAATTTATATTTTTCCAAAACATCAACTACTCGGAATTGTTTTCCCCTCTTAACCTGAATTGTGACGCACGTGCCACGTGTAAATGAAAAGGTGTCCTCGCCGATGAACACTCAAGTCGACGGTGGCTGAGGGACGGTGGACACTCGCTCGCTCTTTTTCGGAGTTTCTTAATTAATGTATAATTAGTAACAACCTATAACCAGAGCGTTTGGCCGTAACTATGACGTAACGGTAGGACTATCTAACCATATCACCTGTTCTCATCAAGAATACATGCAGTTCACACCATTATCCTAACTTGAACACACACACACAGTTTCAGTAACAAGGCTTGACCGACAACCTTAGAATTATCTCTGCTAATCTTGCCTATTTCAGACTCAGTGACTTTGAAATAAAAAAAAAAAAAGAATGGTTTCATATCAATTACGGTAGCGAATTCTTCTCATCCCTCTCCTAGTCCTCAAGGCCCCCTCCTCCCCTCCTTTTTCTACCTCGTGTCCCTCTGCTTACCGACTGAAATCATCTGACGGTGAAGGATTTGTCCACTAAAGAAGCTTCTCGTGTGCGTTACATTCTTTTCCGGGAGCGCAGATCAACTCGCAGCCCGGACATATACACGTACAGCTGGATATAGAGCTGGCGCAGCCGCGCAAAGGGATAACGACAATAGTGTTCACTGTTGACACATGCGAGGACAGCGGGGGGGAGGACAACTTCAACGCCTTTCAACTTTTTTATCCTTTGTTTTTGGAGACATCCTTGTGTTTAAAATTAAAGAAGCATTAACAACCAAAACGGGGCGACTTGACGCATCCGCGCAAAGTTATGAGGAATCAGGACTTTATGACCAAAGTCTGCAGAAAGTAAGAAAACACTACGTAAGAAAAGTGTCTACGGCCGTTTTGATTGAGTAATGCCTCGTCCCGGAAGGAACACGTACAGCGATCAAAAACCTCCGTACTCTTACATCTCACTGACAGCCATGGCCATCCAGAGCTGCCCCGAGAAGATGCTTCCTCTCAGCGAGATTTACAAATTCATCATGAACCGATTTCCGTACTACCGGGAGAACACGCAGCGCTGGCAGAACTCTTTGCGCCACAACCTGTCATTCAACGACTGCTTTATTAAAATTGCTCGGCGCCCCGACCAGCCCGGTAAAGGCAGTTTCTGGGCTTTACACCCAAACTGCGGCGACATGTTCGAGAACGGGAGTTTCTTGCGACGCCGGAAGCGTTTCAAGGTGGGCAGTGTGCTGTCTATAGATCCACTAGAGTCCAATACACCCCAGGACCGTGCACACTACCTGCAGCAACAGCAGGCCAAGCTGGGACTCACCGCGCTGCATACGTCTGCGTGCGCCGCGCACCTCCCACAGATGTCGTTTGGGTACAACCGGAACTCCTCACCACAACCGTCCAGCTTCAAACACCCGTTTGCCATCGAAAATATCATCGCCACGGAGTACAATATGTCGTCTATCACCGGGTTATCACTGACCAACCAACTGGTCTCAGGCTGGTCCCACACGTACCGCCCCCGGATGATGGACACCGCTGCTCCAATCTCCATTGTAACCAGCGACTATTCGTCTTACAGCTCAGCGTTCAAATCAATCTGCCACGGCGGACATACTCTCCCTGCGATCCCGGTGCCCATCAAACCCATGCCCGCTGCGGCAGTGCACGGTTTGCCCGGATTTCCGACTCACATTACGGCCCTTTACGCAAACTCGCCACAAACTCTGAGTCCGACTTCTCCAGCAACGGGCACCCCGGCCGCGCGGGGGGAGACGCTGCCCTCCTTGGCTGCGCTGAAATCCACCGTGGCGGTGCACTGAGTGTGGAATTTATGATAAAAAAAAAAAATTATTGTCGTTATTAGCCCCCCCACCGACCCCCCACCCGGAAATAATACCTAATCCTGTAAAGACATTTTACAGCAGTGTTAAATTATGCCATTATTTTTGTGTTTTCATCGTAATTTAAGACTGTGTTGTTTTCTGTCATTTAAAAGAAAAGGCCCAGTTACCCGAGAAACTGTCGCATTAGTATTAATTAATATGTAGAAACAAATCCATTTTGGGAAATGACCATTTATTTTTTGTTAGATTATGTACATCTTAGTACATCTAAAATCAATGCAAGTGAGCTTTTTAAATAAATTGTTTATACTCCGTAGTTCAGTGCTTATACTTCATCTGCGTGTGGGGGAAACACTTCTGATACTATGTTTCATCTCAAATGATTGTCGAAAAACCTAAATATAACAGTCGAGTTTTGCTGGGTCCAAGTAGATTTTCGTTCATTGTGGTCCAAATCGATGCTCATCTTATCTGATAGTATGTTTCATCTCAAGTGATTGTCGAAAAACCTAAATATAAAAGTCGAGTTTTGCTAGGTCCGAGTAGATTTTCATTCATTGTGGTCCAAATCGATGCTCATCCCCACGATTTGGTGACAGACATCACGTTGGTCATGGCTCTGTCTAGATCATTCCATCCACCCAAATCATACTGCACCCTATACCAATCCCCCCCCCTGAACCTTCCTGGTGAGTCCACTGGAAGGTGCCAACCGCCCTAACCGGGATTCGAACTTGCCCACACCAATGACAGAGACGTTACCTCTGGACCAAAGCGCCACGCCATTGCCATTGCAGTTCGTAAATCCAAAATGTATACAATAGTTTTCTCCGCTTTGTAATATGTTAAAAAAATATGTATATTGTGTGTTTTTTAAGCTTTATTTTCTCTTTCAACATCAGAATAAAATCTGAATGTCTCTCTAACTGTTAAAAACAGAATAAAATGTGTAATATAGTAGTGTGTTATAATAGGTTTTTTTTTAGTCCTCTTTCACTCTTTTTTTTTTTTTTGCCCGAAAAATAATTTTCAAGGATTAGCTTGTTTGAAATTATTGCCATATTCTTATCAATGAATACGCGGCTTTAAAGTCACTAAAATTGAACAATTAGTGCATTTTACAATAGAATCACTCTTTATTTTGCTGCTGTTTACTCTATCTGGGAAACAACACAAATAACTGCTATTGAATTCTGTAAGTTATGTTTGAAAAAACAAATTTTTTCATAAATGAAATACACGAATTTGGTGGTACATCAAGATCTGGGTTTGTAAATTAAACTCAAAGATTTTTTGAAAGAAAGAAAAAAAATGCACATACCTGGCAGCACAGTTTACAAGCAGTATCATCCAACTTGAATAGAATCACAATTTCTCAAAAATAAATATTTGTTTTACTGTGTATAGCATTAGAATTGAATAAATGCCCGGGAGAGTGTCAGCCTCGATTTCACCGAATCAAAGGTCACGCAATCATACATGTTGCAGTTCTAACATGCGATCTATAACTTGACTCATTTAATGCCTGTAGATGTTTACTTTTTTTTTCTCTAAGATTGTAACTTATATTCCAATTTTTTTTTACTCGGATATGAACACAGTACCTGTAGTAGTTTAAGGTTTAGTAAAGTTTACTTCATTTTTCTAAGATTGTAACTTATATATTCCAATTTTTTTTTAACTCGGATATGAACACAGTACCTGTAGTGTTAAGTAGCAATGCCGTTTTTTAAACCACAGCGTTGAAGACATTTTTGCCCTCTTTTGAAACTTTTAGGCAAAACGTTACTTCTTCGACCTTGTGAGCCTTTAACGATTTGCTTAATGTGATTAATGGCGTCTCAGAGTAGTTTTTGTTTTAAATTATGAACTTAACTTGTGTTTTGTCCTGAGCTTACGTTGGGTTAATTAAGACGTGAATAGAGGCACCAAGACTCTCTCTCTCTGTCACTATGCATATATAGTCTTTGGCATATATATATATAGTCTCTGTCACTATACATATATATATACATATATATATGTGTGTGTGTGTGGTAGCAAAGCTAAACCTGTGTTTAAATGTGTACTCCGGCTAAAGCTAATACTAACTTATATGTTGCCTAAGCAGCTGCGGAGCTTGTCAAATGAATGCGTAATCTTGAAGACACACAGGTACCAATTAAGTTAGTGCTTAACTTGTGTATGTAAATAATGTGTAATCTTGAAGACACCAGGTACCGATTAAGTTAGTGCTTAACTTGTGTATGTTAATTAGTGCTGCCAATTGTTCGATTGAATGAATTCTCCTCAGAAAAAAAATCACAGGGTGGATGTGGAGTAATGTGAATAGGAGTGGTACTGATTACTGATGAAGACAAATCAACACATTCCTAAATACGAGGAAAACGGTTCCGTATATTGCTGGAGGACAGCTGGACCAAAAATAACACCATGGTAGGTGTTTGTTTTCTGCACCTGTTTTTTTTTTTTTTTGTTTTTGTTATGAATCCAATGATGTAAATAATAATATGGAGAAATGTCAAGAAACTATAAATAAAGCATCGCTTCATTGACTTGCTGGATTTTAGTCATTAATGCATTTTGACGTGGCTTGTAGAGCAAATCAAGAGTTTTTCGGGAGACAAAGAAGGTCGAATGCGCAGAAGAAGGGTGAAGTGTGGCAGCAGTGAGCGTCGCCTCACTTTTACGAGTGAGGCGACAAAACAACTGACTAAACAGGGCAGTTGGTGCATGCCCATTGCCGGCTCTCTTTATATCACCAATATACGTGTGTTTGATAACATGTGACCTACGCTATAACGCCCATGAATGCTCGAAGACACTGTTTTATAACCTTTTTAAGCCAGGTGGTACACTTTTTCCATTGAAAAAAATAACGAGGCACACCACCGGCCGAAAAAGTTTCAAAAAAAAAAATTAAACTCTGTAACCAATATTACCAATATAAAGTCATTCTCATCCAAATGTCTTTAATAGGAATCAAATAAAGACAAAGAAATATATTGTGAGCGGAATCATTTCAAGGTTGCCACTTTCCACACGTTCGGCCTTGCGTTCGTGCGTTCAGTTATTTTAGATGATGATAAAAAATATCTTCCAGGTATTCCAGCCCTGCTTGTCTCTTATCACTTGCAAGCAGCTTTGCATAATCAGACCTCTCATTTGTCAGGAACATTTTAAGTTCCACACTGACCAGCACCTTGCCGTCCGACAACCATCGGACCTTCATAAGAAACAGCAAGGCTTTAGGATCCTCTCTCATTTTGATGTGACCCCAAAAAAAAAAAATCACCTCTCCTGTTTCCTTCCTGGAAACGCCTTGCAAAATAGGACGTTTTCCTCTGATTGCATCTTCCCTCCACAAATTGCACATTGGCCAAGAGTTGAGCATGTTCACTAGTATCGACTCGTGAAGTTGCAAATTTCTTTACTGATACGGATCTTTTCCAAAACCACAGCCTCCTATATATAATGGCTTTGCAGGCAGGAAGTATTAATGTCTCTGCCACAGTGTGGGACTTTTTTGATTTAGCTACGAGTGGTAGCTACCTTTGTTTTTCTCTCGAAAGTTGTCCGTTTCTCCGTGTGTTCACACAGGCGAACAAAATAATCTGCATTCTTGATTTGAAGCAAAAAAAGTGTTTTGTTCGGAGATGGCGTTTAACCTTATTTGGGACCAGAGCACTGTTAGCACCGTATAGCTTTTCACCACAAACCAAGCACAACGGTGCTGTTGCATCCCCCACGGTGAAAGTAAATACATTGCCTGGAGACTTTGCTCAAGCTCACCGTCTTTACTTTCTTTTGCCCTCCACTCATACTACCTGCCTTCCTCTGGGTCCGAATTTTGTCCAGGGTTCAGTTAGGAGTTAGCATTTTTTTTTTCCTTTTTCAAAAACTATCTTCTTCTTCTTCTTCATCACTATCACCGTATAGCCTCGCTGGCATCAATGCCACTGTCACCGTCCCCTGTCACATCGATGCATCGCCAATTCTCTTGTTTGAAAGTACAAGGCAATTGCAAAGTATTACGTAGTCACTCTGACAGTCAATAGACAGCACAGACGTGACTCGTTTTTTTTAGACCATGGAGGTGAAATTGGATATTTTCTCATATCTCCCCAAATAACCTGCTACTTATATTCCAAATTTTAGGATAAATGTTCCAATTAAGGTCAAAATTGAAAATATAAGTTTCTATTTTGTGTTTATATATGTGTAAATCTCTTACATGTTGCCTTCTGAACAACAAACTTTAATTGGTACTCTTCCTATATTCCACCAGGTCACTAATTCGGCACTGATTGGACTAATGCCCATATCCCTTAAAGTGTGGTGAATTTTTTTAAAAAATGAAACGCGTTACATTTTTAAATAGAAAAATCTTGGGAATTTGCACTGACTTAAACAGCCCTGGTTAAATATATGTCCCTTAAGGTGCAAAATGTGTTTGTCTTATATTGCAGAAAAAACAAAACCTTACAAAAAACATCACATGATTTTTTTTTTTTTGTCTTTTAAATTTCAGTTCAGACAAATTTGGTCTTCAGACTGAATTGGAGACTGAAGGAACGTCTTGAGACTTGAAACATTTCTGATGAGCTTATCAAGGGTTAGAAGGTTTAAAAAAGTGGTTTGCACACTCCTGGTTGGGGATGAGATCCTGCCTCAGGTGGAGGAGTTTAAGTCACTTGGGGTCTCGTTCGCAAGTGACGGGTGGATGGAACGAGAGATTGACAAGCGGATCAGTGCCGAGGTCGCTGAATCGGTCCGTTGTGGTAAAGAAGGAGCTGAGCCAAAAGGCAAAGGTCTCAATTTACCGGTCAATCTACGTTTCTAACCCTCACCTACCTATGAGCTTTGGAACAAGATCCCGGATACAAGCGGCCAAAATGAGTTTGATCCGACAGCCAGAGGAGTCAGCTGAGGTGGCTTGGGTCATTTACATCGCATGGCCCCCGGACGCCTTCCTCGTGAGGTGCTCGGGTCCTGTCCCTCTGGGAGGAGACCTAGGGG